CCCATTATAAAAGATTTGAGTTCCCTAAACTTAGGGTTCCTCTTCTGTATTGCACCCCACTGTGTGTGCAGATGTACCTTGTCCTACAAAAATTGAAGCTTGGGAAACTGCAGCAAATGCTAATACTCTGGCTACTGCTATTACTGTGAGTAATAAACTCTCTTTTATCTCAGACCTAGGAGTCTTGTGTCTTCGGCCAGTATCTATGAAATTGCGGTGGGCTAACTGTTAGCTTGCAGGTAGGGTAAAATCTCTGACCTTTCTCAGTTCTTGACAATCTCAAGCTACTGATTCCAACAGGCAAGCCCACATCTTGAAGTAATTAAGTTTATATTTTATTCTTCCATTTCTTCATTCAATAAACAAACATTTATTGACTACCTAATCAATACTAAGAAGAGGCTGGGGATAAGGAGACCCAGCATTAGGCAAAACAAAGTCTTCTAATAAAAAACAAAAGCCTCATAAGAAAACAGAGTTTAGTAAGGAAGACAGAAAACAAGTAATCAAATGAGCAAACAAGATCATTTCAGAGAGAGTAAGTGCTAGAAAGAAAATAATCTAGTATAACGTAATAGAGAGGGATTGGGGTAGACATGGAAGGAAGGACAACCTGAGGCTGGGTGATCGAGGAAGACCTTTCAGAGTCAGTGAAATGGGAGCTGAGACATTCATGACAAGGTAAAGCAGCCATGAGAAGAAGGTCCTGAGGAAGAATATTCTAGCAACAGGTACTGGGGATGCCCTAAGGCAGGAGAGAGGATGACCCGTTCAGGAAGAGAAAGGCCAAAAAGCCAAGGGGAGAATAACGGTGGCTGAGATTGGAGAGGTGGGTAGGGCCACATCCCAGGAGCCTTGAGGGCCACAGAAGGGCTTTGATTATCATTGTCTCCTTTCTGGCCTCCTTCCCTTCATTCCCAATACCCTCCAGCTTTCCTCCTGTCTCAAAGCGTCTGCCTGGGCGCATTCTTGATGGAGCCTTGATGGATGGCTTTCTAGATTTAACAGTGAGCGGTAACTACCCTAAGCCTTTAATTTACGGTCTGCAGAAGTATTTGCCTGATATGAACGGAATTGTAAAGACTGAGAGTATGTCAGGGCCGTCTCCAAAGCCCAAATTTCAGATGTCTGGCATCACGGAGGAGGGAAGTGAGGCGAGATGCCTTCCTGTAACTCTTTCTGTCACACCAGCTGATGGGACAGACTCCTTCTCGGTCAAGTTTAATTCCAGGATGTAGACACTCATCTCTGACAGCAAAGAAATGAAGAGTGGCTTCCAGTGGCTTACTTAAAGAGCTTCTGATGCTTCTTAAAGAGTCTTATTTGCCACTCACCAATTAGCAGCTTCCTGAAAGGGAAAAAGAGGAAATTGACCCAACATCTTGTGACGAGGAAAGTCATCAGCTAATTATGTCAAATCCTTACTTCTATATGAAATTCAAGAACAGAGAGAAACTCATTTAGTCAAACTAACCAAATTAGTTAGATCTCCAAATAGAGTAAAACTAATTTACTGATCTACTAATTTAAGGAAATTGGGATACCACAAGTTAAAAGTCTATAAAATGGAATAATGTCAACAGAAACTACCTTATTATTTCTAGTAACTAGAGCAACGCAAGATTACCACTAACTCGGAATTTCCAGAGAGATTCTGCAGAACCTGATACAATGAAGAGAATATTCTATACCGTTTGATCTAGACAATGGTACAATTCATGCAGTCTATGATTGTGTATATAATTTGTGCTTCCTCTTAATTCAACAAGATTCTCAAATTTCATCTTTAGGGGTTGTTTTCTTAGCAAACAAATTTTTCGTTGATAATTCACAGGTAAACTTGTCAGCCAGCATTATCACAAATACCATATTATTGGTGTTTCAATCAATGAGGTTATGTTGGAGTCCTGTGATCATTTAATCACAACTGATGATATCTTCGGGAGATTGAGAACTACTGGAGCAGGACAGAGCGATTGGAATTCTCTCATATGAGCCAGAAATAGGAAAAGGCTGCCATTCGGGTCAGAACCAGAGGCCTGTTTCAGGGGCCTAGTCCGGGTGGGTTAAATCTGAGAGAGTATCCAGCAGGCACGGCATCCACAGACACAGCGCAACAGTCACAGAGTCCCAATAAGATCCTTCCCCAAGCTGGATTAAGACAAACTAGGAGTTTCTCAAAATGGCTTCATCACAGCATTTATGTTTTCAGGTTTAGAGAAAGCATTTCAGCTTTTAGGTCCAGAAAGATCTGAAAAGGCTGGTGATGGGAATTTCCACAGCACATGGATTTCTGAATCCCACTTGATCCCAGGCTCACGGTGCATGCAAAGCCAGACTGCCACCTACTGACATGCAGAAGGGGTGGCTTGGCATTGTTCCATTCTTAGGTATAAACAAGGTAGTGTTGATTACAAATGGTCCACTGAGCCCTGCCTGCCGCTTTTTAAAAACACAATGGAAATGAAAGAGTCATTGATTTGAGACCTGGATTATATATTTTTTTAAATTGTTGGGAAAAAAACACTCTGCCTAAATATATATAATATCTGCTGATGGTTCAAAAATAGAAGAGGAAGTTTGGCTTGTGGCAATTGAGTGGGGCAAATATGACTGCATTTCAACTTCCTCCTATTTCTTCAGTATAAGAAATGAGAGACTGCAGGCTTGCACCATTGAACTGAAAACTCCTTGAAGGCAGGAATTATGTCTTACTTATATTTCAATTTCCCTAGGCCTGACGTATTTCCTAGTGCATACTAAAGGCAAACAACAGTTTGTTAAATGAGTCTGTACAGTTTTAATAATAGTAATAATAATAATAAAATTAAAAACCAAATCAGATGCTCACAAAAATGAACCGAGATAACCCTCAATGTAAATCCTTTCTCGAATAGCTGTGTACTTTGGATGGTTTGCCTAACCATTATAAAGTTTCATTTTATAATCCTTAAAATGAAGAAGATGCGACCTCCCTCACTGAGTTGATTGATGGGGATTAAATGGCATGACGTATATGACATGCTTATCACAGAGCACAGCACACAATCACTCTTCAAGAAACAAAAGTTTTTTTAAGTAAAACAGGCCTAAGTTCCTGTCTGCTGCCTGTTCTGACCCTGGGGCATGATTGCCTGCTTAGGATCCTCCAGCCTCAGCTTTCTTGCCGGCTTAAAGAGATCCTTCGACTGGCCAGCCAGTGGCCCGACCTAACACATGAGCACAACCCAGAGAGCCGTAGCAAAGCAGGTTGGGGAGGCGGGAGATTAATTGAAGACTTTTGTTATTGTTATTTTTAGTTACAAACCGGCAGGAAAACAGTTCCTGTCAGATAGTGACTCTCTCACTAGAAGGCAGAAACGCAGGTGGGAGGAGGGTTGACCATTAATCATTAGGAAGCAGGGAAGGAAATTGAGACAGGAAATGTCAACACCCAAATGTCCTTACTCGGGGTTGGTCTGAAGGCAGAGCCACGGACCAGCATGCTAAAAGCTGGGGCCCTGGCTGCAGCAGAGCCAGCGCGGAGGAAACGGGCCAGCTCTAGAATGTCAAACCAAAATAGACCGGGCACGTTTCCCTTCTAAAGCAGAGGGACCAGCTCCTCTCATACTTGGCTCTCAAATTCTTGCTAAAACTTTGGGAATCTGTCTTGAAAGAAAATGCTTTCTTACGGTTAAGAATTAAAGTAGATGCCAAAATAGGGGAGGATAGGAACATAGCTTCGCATAACTTTTCTGGGCCTCCATTTTCTAGTCTGTGAAATGGGGATAAAATGTCTGCCTTCTCTCCTTATAGACCTGCTATGGAGACCTAAGTATAACAATGGTGACGGTGGGCTTGTCGTGACTCAGAGAGCTTTTGATTCCTGTCACGATAGGAAATGAAAAGGCCCCTTGTGCCCCAGTCAGCTGAGGCAGGGCAAACCCAGACCGCATGGGGGGACCTCAAGCTCTGCTGGCAACGTGGAGTCATGGTTCCCAGAGGCGCCACATCTGTGCCTTTGATTAAAGCTTCTGAAGTACGTTTACTTTCCTCTTGATTTTGTCAAAAGTTGGCTTTGCCAGACGAGTATTTCTCTTTTGAAAGGAATAAATTTTGTCTATATTACAAATTAAGCCCTGAGGGATAAATTAATCAAATAAATGCTTACACTGTGATCACTTTTATCCCTCAAAAATCTTTTCCTCCCGATAACGCTTTTATCTTCAGATACTGCAGTGGCGGGGGGCAGGGTGGTGATTAAGAGCACAGGCTTACAGTCAAACAGATTTGAGTTCAATGTTCACATAATAAGCACTAAGTACGTATTATTTGGCAATTTAACTCATCTATGCCTCAGTTGGCTTGTCTGTAAAATGGGAGAAATAGTGGCTTTAGGGTTTGCTGTGAAGACTGACACATGGTAGATAACCCCTGTTATCTAAATGTTAACTAGTGAGTTTATGACGCAACTAGACCACAAAGTTTAAAGGTCTTTTTTTTAATGAATTAAAAGATTCATATTGATTCAGTCAGGATTTATTCTGGACCCCCCAGACTCTGGGCACCATATGAAACAATTAGTTTGCCAAAGTGAATAAAGCTGGGCCAGTCAGTCTAGTTGGTGAGAGAAACATTCAAACAAATCATTTCGATCCTACACAATGAAGCTGCCCCAGGACGGGGTTCTAAAGTCATTTGATCTCCAAAGAAGAGAGTGACCAACTCTGCTTGGGTGGATCTAAGATTTCACAGAAGTGGAAACTCATACTGGGTCTCAAAAGATGAAAAGGGGTTTACCAGAAAGAGGAAGGGAAGGACACTTCAGGAAGACAAATGGTGTCTCCTGAAGCAGTCCATCCATGGTACTGCGACTTGGGACAGTTTGCCACTTCAGCATCCTCAAGCACAAAGCGCATCATACAAGCACGTGTGGGAGACGGGGTTTAGGGAAGTGAGGCCAGGTCGTAGAGAGCCCAGTGGTCCATCCTAAGCAGGCTGGATTTTCTCTTGTAGGAAATGGGGGGGTTTTGAAAGGTTTTAAATGAGGAAGAAAATAATCAAATAGGATTTTAAAAAGATGACTCCAGCAGCCTGGTTGGATTGGAGAGAGGCCCAGGGCAGAGTTAACCAATGTTAAGTGCCATCCTGATAGCTCTGGCCGAACAGGGAGAGAATGAACTCAGGTGAATGACAGGAAGGGGAGGAGGGCACAGGTAAGAAAAGCATTTAGAAGGCAGATTAGTAAGACATAGAGGCCCTGTGAATTTGTTTGAGGTGAGTCAGAGAGGTGTGGCCGAAGGAAGGGAAAAGGTAACAGATGGAAAATTCTAACTAAGTGGACCTCTTTAAAACAAAGCTCCTAGTGCTGGGAATGCGGAAGTACAAGCCAGAGCCTGCACTTGCCAGAAACATGCATAGTCCAACGGACAACAGGAAACTAAACCAACAATTACAGAACAGGGTTTCGGGTGCTTTACAGTGTCCATTGTACTTTCACAACCACTGTCACACTTAGGTTCGTTCCACAGTTACTCTGTAAGTTTGCCCTGCAAGTCACTCCATGGCAAGCACTTTCTGTCTCTAACAGCTGAGAAAATGGACTCGGAGAAATTAAGACACAGAACTAAGTAGAGAGGACCGGGGAGGCTCCAAGAAGAGGCATCCCGCTCCCTCTGCAGCCGCAGAAACGCCTCCAGGACGCCTTCTCTGGCGCTGAGCCTCGAGGGTGAGTAGGAGTTGATCCGCAATAAAGACAGGGTGGGTAAGGAGGGGGCTTCAGGCAGAGGGGAGCGTGTGTGCAGTTGGAGGGGCTGGAGTGCCTGTGCAAACTGGGATGTCGAAGACCTGAGGCTGCAGAGGGAAATAAAAGTCAGACAGGGGCCTCCACAGACAAAGCCAGGGGAGATGGACATGATTATGCCATTGTTTTTGTGGTTGTTTATTTTCCTGAGTGTCGAAACTGCAGGCAAGGCTTCCCTGTCCTCAGTGTGCGAGAAATGTCCAGAAAATCCTTTGGATGAACGAGAACTACCATTTATTCAGTGCCTGACGTGTGCCAGCAATAATGATGCTCTTGTCCTTACAAACGGCCCTAACCAGTAGATATTAGTAACCTGACTGTGATGCTATAGAGGGTCATGTAACCAAGGTCACATAATTGATAATTAATAGAGCTGGGGGTTGAACCCATGTCAGTCTGGTCCCCAAACCTGTGCTCTTTCCTTTAAACCAGGTTTTAATTTTGGCACTACTGACATTTTGGGACAGCTCATTCTCTGTCGTGGGGATGTGTTCTGTGCATTATGGGATGTTTAGCAGCATCCTGGCCTCTACCCCCTAGATGAAAGAAATACCATTCATCCCCCAGTTGTGACGATCAAATATGTCTCTAGATATTGTCAACTATCCAGGGAAGGGGAAGGCAGCAAAATTGCTCTGGTTGAGAATCACTGCTTTAAACTATGTTCTCCCTTAAGACGTAAAGAGGGAGACAAGTAGGTTCATCATTGTAATGAAGGGAGAGCCCGGAATATCCTTGGTGAAGTAGGTCAGATTCAAATGTATTATGTTGTGTATGTTATAGGTTCAGCGGAAAGTGAGAAAGGCCCAAAACAAAGGGGCTTAATCCAGAGGGAAGGTGATTTCTCTTTCATGTCAAAGTGGAGAGGTGGGCCATCATGTGGTGTGGCAGTGCCTTTCCACAGGTCCCTCAGGGACCCAAGTTCCTTTCGGCTTCCTTCTCATCATTCCCAGGGTATGTCCTTCATCCGCATCATCCAAGATGGCGCACCAGCCATCACAGCCTTATTCCAAGCAGAACAATCAGGTTAGTGGGAAGGAGGCAAACCACACCTCCCAGCTGTCCCCTAAAAAACGTTCCCAGGAACTGTCACATGACATTTCCACTTACATCTCACTGGTCAGAACTAAGTCACATGACTACACTTAGCTGCAAGCAGGGCTTAGAAATGTAATCTTTATTCTGGTCACCGGGGCCCAGGTAAAAATGCTACTTTTATGGGCAGAGGCAAGACTGGGATTTAGGGGATCACTGGCAGCCTCTGTGCCATGCGTGATCCTCAGTGATAAAAGGATTGTAATTTCACCAAACTGCACCTTATGTCTCCAGGTGCCAGTTTACTGTCACTTGGGTTCCACTCAGTTTTCATTGTATTGTGAGCATATGTTATGGGTCGAATTGTGTCACCCAAAAAACATGTTGAAGTCCTGACCCCCAGTACCTGTGATTGTGACCTTATCTGGAAATAGGTCCATATTGCATGTGATCAAGTTAAGATGAGGCCATTTGGGTGGGCACTAACCCAATGTGCCTTGTGTCCTTATACAAAGGGGAAATTTGGACACAAAGACAGACATGAGCACAGGGAGAACTCCACATAAAGAGTGAAGCAGAGATCGGGATGATGGCAAGGAACACCAAAGGTTGCCAGCAAACCACCAGAAGCTAGGAAAGAGGCATGGAACAAATTCACCCTCCCAGCTCTCTAAAGGAAGCAGCCCTGCTGACGCTTCGATCTCAGACTTCTGCCCTCCAGAACTATGAGACAATAAATCTCTGTTGCTTAAGCCATCCAGTTCGGAGTTCTTTGTTACAGCAGCCCTAGCCAACTGATACAGCATACTTATAAGAAATGAAAGACTATGACGACCTCAAAGGATTCTCACAATCGTTCGCACCTCAAAGAAAGTGTTTTAATCCCTCTTTGTTGTCACAACCAAAAGAAAGGCTTTTTTGGTCTACACAGCCTGAGCAGCAGGCAGAAGAAGCTCTGGAGGCTGCCGAACAGGGAGGACCTGGAGAAGCAGGGCGAGGAGTGGCTGTTTCTATGATGCTGGCAGTGACTATCTCCTATCCTCCATCCAATCAGAGGAAACCAACTTTATTAACAGCGCGTCTCCTGCGAGCACCTTCAATAATAATTTTGGCTTATAGTCAGTGATGTTGTAGCAAATGTAAGGTAAATACATGTACAATAAATTGGTCTTCAAAAAAGAAAACTGTGTACATATGTGTTTATTATAGATCTTAATAATGGATATGTAGCATACAATTTATAAATAATAATACTCCTTATTGTAAATTTCTAGCCAATTTATTCCCAGGGAAGGCTTTCATTGATTTTTGCCAAACCCTTGCATCCAGAGCCAATCTATAATTGCAATTTAACGATGACTGACAAACGGAGCTAGTTCCCAATGCAGTAACTCTTTTCCCAATAAACGTATTGTCATTAAATCTGATATGTGATTTTGTGTTAAACCATTTCTCACCCTTGTATTAATTATATTCATTAAACTGAAATTTTTCCAGCTTTGGCAGTAAATCAAGCCTTAACTTACAATGTCTACTGATTTCCACCATGTAAAGACTGCACAATGGCCAATTTCAAGCCACCAGTGAGCGGGGAAGAAATGCACAGTGGCTCACCTTTATATAGCATTTCTACCATACAGAGGCAATAGATGTAAATAACCTCAAGAGCACAGAGAAAAGTCAAATGTACTAAAATATTTAGGAAGTGATGAATTTTAAGTATTATTGTCTTTGTTTTTAGTATAATTTATTTCATTGTAAATTAATATCATTTAATTTTTTGTAGTGGGTATGTTTAACAACCAGCTGTCAAAATTCCTGAAAATTTAACCATTGGCTCTCACGGGCTGGTACAAGCCAGCTCCCGCACACCACTGATTGTTGGCTGTTACCAACATTCAGATTTTCCCACTATGTGAATACAAGCAATTTCCAAGCTACACCTTGAAGAGGAAATAGTTGCACCTAATGCAGTATTTCTATCTTTTTTCTCCTACCAAATCTCCCCCGAGATTCAACCCATGGAATTTAACATCATCCATCATCAGTCATGAATATTTATTATAGTCCTGGGGTACGCGGGACTGTGTAAGGTCAGGGACTTTGTTGCAGAGTGTCAGATCCGTGGCTGTTGCTCAGTGAATGCTTGCAGAACCAGTGACCTAAAATTATTACATAGTGTTCCAGGTGATTACAAGTCCTAGGGTACATGACAGTTTTTCTTTCCTTTATTGTCCCTTTTCTGCTCAATTTATGGACAAAATGGCATAAAACTAAACAGATCAAATTAACTGGGGCCACAGTAATTCTTGTCTTCCTGTCCTGCTCTAGGTTGTTAAACTATGACCGTTTCGCATGGTGGGGCAACAAGCAGAAGTGTCTGAATGTAACCTGAAGAGCTCTCTCTGGATGGCCTGGACTACAAGTTAGCTGGAACCGGCAGAAGGAGCTGCAGCCAAGCTTAGCTTCCCACGGCACCAGTAATTTCCTCCCTCTAGAGAGAAGATAGAGAACGTCCTATAGGCCCCAAGGTCTCTATGTGCTGGGCAGCTAATGTTCCCAGCCAATTCCTACCTATAGTTGGCAGCCCAAATACAGACTTCCTGCAGCCAAGCAACCCGTGTATTCCCCACTGGCATGGGTACTTTCTCTTAAATGCCCTGTGAAAAAGGAGACCCATGGAGTGGTGGGGTCTGACCACTGGAATGAAGGCCCATACTGAGGGTCTACCAGTGCCCTGGCCCCGTACATCTCTGGGATGATGAGACAATCAGGAGATGACTGGTGCTTTCTCTTCTCTTAAGGACCCTTGGTCTCTTGGGGTTTTCACTTTTCCAGTAAAGCCTATATTATAACCTAAACTTTGTGACATTGTAGAATTTGCATCAAATCCAGGTGGAACTCACTTGGCAGAACAAGGAGAGTCCCAGCAGGAACCCATCTTCACAACAGGCACCCACGATGTTCCACATTAACTGGGACTATATGCGTGTAGTTCTAGGGGGAGGCCTGAGACAAGGACCAGGCAACCTGGAGCCCGGCAGTCCCCAAAATAGATATGTGATCTAGCGAGAAGTTTTTTAGATCCCTATTCCACAAATGGCTCATCTCTGAATTTCCAATGAACACACAAGCTGAAACACAAAAAACAGTCAAACAAAACAAAACCCTAAGTTCCCCTCGACGCCATGAAGCCGGTTGAGCTGCCACACATGATGTCATGTGATCTTTACTAGTGATTTCTTGTTGATGCCCAGGAGGGGACTGAGGACACAATGCCTATTGTTCACATGTCCAGAACCTAAAGGGGAGACTTTGTTCTGGGATCCTTTTGATTACAACAAAAGATGTATAACAGACTCAATTCTGCCAGGTGTTCTGGCAAATGAGTATGCAACAAACAAAAGTAAAAGGTGAGTCTTCGTTCACTGAAGGCTCTACAAATGACACGACAAAAAGAAGGAAGGTCCCCAAAAGATGCCAAATTATACACCAGCCTCTTTAAGTCTTTTCCAGTCACCACTGTGTGGTGAATACCCAGGTCATCAGCAAGATGTAGTTCATGGCCACCTTAACAAAGAGAGGACACACAGGAACTCGAGACCAGACACCTCTGCCCGACCTCTTGAAAAATATTTGGAGATAACTTCTGGGGTGCCACATAGTCAGAAGACACTAAAAGAATAGCAAGTTCTTCATGCTTCTGTTCCAAGAATTCAAGCGCTATACGAAAGCAAAGTGTTCCGAGTCCAAGGAAAATCGGAGTCCATTTTATACTATTCTCTGGATGCTGAAGGCATGTAGATAGAATGATGCTTTGCGGAGGGGCAGGAAAATGAAACCTAGCTTTGCTTCTTGTGCAGTACAACTCAGCAGTAGTGAGCACAATGGAGCTGTTGTCTTCACAGCAGTCCAGGCACCACCCTACAAGTCCCGTGAGGCTAGGCTGCTAATGGGCTGAGCTGACTGTGATGGTGTTTTCAGGGTATATCAGAGGCAATAGCCACTGCTTAGCCAAACTTGGCAAGAAGACCATGCCCATTGAAAACACTGAAGTCAAGGTGCTTCACTTCTCGAAAGTCACAATGATCCCACTAAGCAAAGAGGACGAAATCTTTGTGTGTCGAGATCCAGGTCTGACTGTCAAGAGCCAGGTGGGCTATAAACGCTCCTTCTTACCCTCAAACAAATGAACAAAGAAAATCCCAAGTCACTAAGGTTATCCTGAAAGTCACTTGGAAAGCACTAAATTCTTTTGGGCAGTAAACCTGTTTCATGAAGATCTTACAGGGATCATTGCACATGTATGTCTGAAGGGCTTCTGAGTTGCACATAGGAGAATCATAATCCATACTCAGCATCATTATTTTTATAAACAGCAAAGCAGTCCCTTTTGAAATTGTTTAGGGATCATTAACATTGAAAGGATAAGAATCTGAGACCTCAATATCATGATTACTTCTTTCTACAAATAATTTTTTTTTTATGTTGGGAATCATATTGCTAGTTGACAATCAAGTAATTACCAACACAAAGAAAGCCAGCACCCACACAACAGCATGCAACCCGAGGGTGCCGACACATACGTGTACTAACTCTAGCCCTGCTGAGAAGGTTCTTTTGGAACAAAGAAAAAAGGCAGGGAAAATAGCAGCCATAGCCACAGAAGCTGGTTATAATAAATGCCGTCAAGAAATCGTACCCAGTATTGACATTAATTGTGATTGAAGAGTTGTGCCTACAGTTTCTGTCTGCAGACTCACAGGTGTTGTCAGTGTGCTTGCTGAACCCCAAAGCCCTGTGTAAAGGCCTGAAGGTCACTGAAAAACCCAAACATTAATAGTTTTGTGCAGATGGAAACATCTGACTTCACTATAACCTATTTATTCATTGCATAACCTCCTCCCAGCTGCCACTGTTGTGTCCATACACAGCATTGTGACACAGTCTTTCTTATGATATAATATAAATGGAACAAAGAGGGCTGCCTGCGTACACTCAAGGTTCACGGCTGTATAGCTCCCATCCTTTCAACAAACACCTACAGCGTCGGTACTCAGCAATTCCGATCTTTATTTGGAGCACTGGAAATAGGTCATTTTTCCCCTTTAGGAAAAAAAACAGCACATTTTTCCAAGGTTGGTATAGTTGTTTTTGACTCTTTCATCTAGCACATAGTAACTGTGAACGCTGGGCTTATCTTAGGGGCATTAGGTAATTCTTGGAGGGCTCTGAAACCCACCACGCGTGAAGCAACTGAGACTTTTAAACGTATTCATGTTGTGGGTTCTTAGTATTCAAATCTACAGCATAAGTAGATGGTTTAGAGATGGACAATAGAGCACTGATTACCAAAATCCAAATTAACGTTCACGCTCCACTTCTAAGGTGACACACCTGCTTTTGCTTAGCAGTGAGTTTCGTTTTTTAATAACTACAAATTGGCAGATTATGCCTTGCATAGTCATTGAATTTCAGTGTTTTGAAGCCAGCCTACCTGTGTTTCAACAACCCTGTCAGTGTTTCCAGATCTAATCATCAAACCACAGTGGCAAATGCAAAAAGGTACAAAACACCATGATTTAGGAGTTTATAAACTCCAATGAAACAGGTGTACTTAAAAACGTTAAATTTATAATTTTATTTAACATTTTAAGACAATACTAGAAAAAATGTCAATAATTGGTACATGACTGATTATAAGGATTCAGATTCAGATCTTACTGGCTCCAAACCCTTTTCTCCCTACTACGTAGACATTTCCAGAAAGGTCTGCCAAGCTTGCTCTATCCACTAACCTTCTGAGAATTTGTCTTTTAGTTAAATGTCTCCAAAAGGCCCAGCTGTCACAAGACAGTTGTGAGGAAGGAAGACCTTGATACAATTCTTGGGGGTTGGTCTGCCAGAGAGACTCTGGAATGTTCCTCCCCAGCAAAGGCATCTCATGTCTTCTGTTGTTCTAAAACATTAAGGGGACTCACCAAATTGATTGATAATGAAAATGATAGCAATGATCAGACATCCTTAATGCCTGAACTTTAAGGTTTGGAGGACTTTTACGTGAGAAACTGCTGCTTAAAAGGATCATCTGCACAGGTTTTGATCTTGTACTATAGTTATGTAAGATAGGACCAACTGGGGGAAACTGGGTGAAGGGTACGTGGGACCTCTGTGTCCTATGTTTGCAACTTCCAGTAAATCTACAATTATTTCAAAATTTAAAATTCAAAAAAAAAAAGAGATAACCTGTGTAGTTCAGCAGGAGGGACATACACTTTCCAAGGTTGGGAGTAGAAGAGGCACTCCCCCCAATTTCTAAACAGAATCCCTTCTTCAGTCCCAGAGCCCAGGTTCCCAGAGGGGGCTGGAGGCACCCTGGTGTTATTCAGAATTCAGAGTTAGGGGGCTAGGTTGTGGCCCCGGCTCTCCCACTAACTGGCTCTGTGATCTTGGTCACATCCCTTAGCCTCTGAATCTGTTTCTTTATTTGTAAAATACGTCTTTCTTTTCCAGAAAAGGCCACCTCCAGGTTGAAGGAGATCATAACAACTCCCCAAGACAATATGTGTGAAGACCCAAGTAAAGCAACATACGAACATTGGTTTTTCTGAAAATCATTTCTGCCAGATGTGGCCCAAAAGACCTCTGTGAGGCCAGCAGCCCCTTCCATGGGGCACTCACATCCCTCTGCTTGCCATGGCAGTGGCTCTTGAGATGGCCTATAGGCTTGAGTCTCCAGCTGTTAACCTCACCCCAAGTCCAGTGCCTTTACTTAAAAGAAGTAACTTTGTTCCTCTTCGTTAGCACAGCTGCTCGCAGTTATCCTCCTCACACTCCCACAGCCACTTGCCACTAGTCATACATGTCTCCACCATCATGGTGACCCACGATCAGCTGTGATTCTGGGCATCTCCCAGGCTGCCTTTGGGGCTGATACTTGGAGGTTTCATCCTGCCCTGGCATGTCCCACAGAGCTGGGTGGTGGCACTGAGCAAAGGGTCAAAAGTGTCCAAGTATTCCTTCCCACTGAAAGCTGAAGACCAGCATGGCTGCATGGGCCTTGCCTTTGACCTTGAAGCCATGTGGGTCCTGGAAGCACACGCTGGCCTGCTTAATTTCCTGCTCTAACCTGCAGCACCTGGAAAGCTCTCCCTTCCGCTCATGCCCAGTACATCGGGTGAGTTACCCAGGAAAACAGACGCCACACTGTGTATTCCACGTGACGAGTCTTAATTCAGGGGAAGGAAAGCATTGAAACAGTTATGTCTCTAAAGCTGTGGTTCTTTGAAGTGTGGTGTGGGCACCAGCAGAGTCCACATGACCCAGGAAATTATTGGAAATGCAAATTTGGAGGCCACACCCCAGACCTAGTGAATCAGTGAATCAGGGGGTGGGGCCCAGCAATCTGTGCTTTAATAAGCCTTCGGGCTGCTTCTGATGCAGCTACAGTCTGAGAACCACTGTTCTCAAGCTTGCCACAAAGTTTCTATGGATCTTACCTCTGCCTACAACTGCCTCCGGCGTCTCACGTGCTTGGCCCCCTTTAGCAAACTCTACCCTAGGACCATTCGGGGGAAGGAGATTCTGAGAACTGTGTTTTCCCAGCTTCTCCTCTGTCGAGGACATCTTAGACAAGGGTAGTAGTGGTGGCAGAGACAGGCCAGCACACCCAGTAAGCACAAACTTGTGATAGATACATCTCGTGTGGTTCTGTCCATATGCACAAGTGGTCACACACCAGGTCATGTACCAGATCCTTGTCCACAAGGATCTCTCCGTGTAGCTTTACCATGCCAGAACCTCAAAGTCTACCATTGGAGTTCTCTTCCTGGGGGCATTCGATTTACTTGGCTTGCTTTTGTAAAATATTTATAGTCCAAGGATTTTAAGGGCTGGACTATGTGCTCAAGAAACTTCTTTCTACTCCGTGGATGCCACAGCCCTTCTCCTTTAGGAGACAGTTTCACATAAAGAAGTCCTTGAGGTACAAGTGGGGAGGAGCCAAGTAACACCAAAGGTGGGTAGAGCTTGAGCTAGTAGTTAACAGAGAATTCACAGGAGTGCTGTGGGCGTTAATTAGCAATGGACTGCTAACACTTCAGATCACCTTTCCTTTTTATAATTTGAAAAAGATAGTTATGTGCAAATATCCCAGGATTTATCAGTCACCAACAACTTATATATGCATTACTATAGTAGCTCAGTTTCTTAATTGACACAAAGGTATTTTGGCAGCACTGGGCAACTGCAGGAAAGGTGGAATGGGAGGAGAAAGTTGAAGGAGAAAGTTGAAGGAGAGGCAGGTGAGAGTGGGAGGCTGTCAAAAACACACATCACTGACTGTAGACAATCCAGAGACTGCTAGTAGATTTTATCTGCAAAAACTTCAAACATGTGGGGGCATCCACTGTGAGCCCCAGACTCTAAAGACATAAGGAAGAATAAGACACAGTCCCTCTTCTCAAGGGGGTTACATTCCAGTAGACAGACAGACGTATAAACAAAAAATTTAAAAACAATATAATTAGTGCTGTGGTTAGGGTGTGGGTTATTTGTTATGTGATCTTTGGAAAGAGGAAGTATTGCTACTTGGGAGATTCGCTGCTTATCTTCCATTTCCCTCTTGATATCTACTTTCAGCCTTTCTGTACCCTCTAGGTAGGCTGGTTGTGGTAGCCAGCCTTCAAGATGGCCCTTGATGATCTCCGTCCCCTGGTGTTTGTGTTCCTGCATGACTCTCTCCCGCTTTGAATTTGAGTTGATCTATGTCAGAAGTGATGGTATGTGACTTTCAATGCTGGGTCATAAAAGACATGCAGCTTCTCCTCTACTCTCTTTCTCTCTTGGATCATGTGCTTTGGGGGGAAGGAAGCTGCAATGTCATGAGGACACTTGGGTTACCTTATGGAGAGGCTCACCTGAGGAGGAACTGAGGCCTCCAACCAACAGCCATGTGAGTGAATGAACTTGGCAGCAAATTTCCCAGCCTTCAGATGACCACAGCCTCAGGTGACTTCTTCAGTGCAGCCTCATGAGAGCCCCTGAGCCAGAATCCAGCTGAGCCTCTGAATTCCTGCTCCACAGAGACTGTAAGATAGTGTTCACGGTTTTAAGCTACTAAGTTTTGGAGTAATTTGTTACATAGCAATAAATAACTAATATACCAGTCTATATGGACTTCATCAGCAGGCTCCCTTGCCCACTGACTTCCAGCTAGGTTCAGCTAACAAGGGTTATGAAAGGATAGTGAAGGTAGAAAGCAGAGTCAGGTTGGGAAATTTGCCTACCAGGCTTCTTCCCTATTGAGTCGTTGAGTGTTGGCTATAAAGTTCTCAGTTGCTATTTTGTGGTTACCCCCATATAGCTACTGTGACCAGGTCCTAGTGACCACACTATTCCCCTGCCATTTCAGGCCCTGATGTTACAAGCTCCAGAATCCTGCAGTCTTTTCCTTGTAGCTTCCATATACCCTGCCCATACCTTTGTAAATTGCCCCTTTATGAACTCTCCTCAAATTACCCAATTTGAGTGTACCTGTTTCCTGCTGAAACCATGACTGATACCAACAGTGAGAATAAGGAAGTCTGGGAAGAAATGACATTTGATCTGAGTCTTGAAGAATGAATGTAATCTTGTCAAATAAAAAAGGAAGAGCAACACATGTTCTCGCATCAATAGCCACAGGCAAGTACAATATCTCATTCCAAAAGCTGTATAGCTCTGATTGCTCAGCTCCATGGGACACCATTTGCACTGAATTCTATCTGGATGGCTTCTAGAATTATGCAATGGGGTCATAACTGTAGGACCGGATTTCAGTCCACATCCAAAGATGCATATGAAATATTATCTTCTAAATTTTCTACAGTTCAATTTCTATTTGTATTTCAAACAACCCATCCAGAGGTGACAGAAACTTCTTAATCAATTTGAGATTTCTCCTCTCCCTCTGTCCTCTAGGATGAATTGGGGCAATGAGGAGATTAAAAAAATTCAGTTAATATTTCAAAAACACCCAGTTACATTCAATAACATTTTATTTCTTTGGAGTACACTAATTCAGTCTTTGTTATATTTCAGTGTAGGTTAGACCGGAGTTCAGAGTGGCCGATGAAAAGAGGTTCTGCCAAGCAGCTGATTAGGCTGAATGTGATTGCAGGAGCACATTTAAACTCTGTAAGAGAGCAAATCATTGTTAAAGACTCTAGCCCATCAAGTGTTTGTATGCAAATAAGGATGCTAATTATAAATGAGCTTTATCTACTCAATACAGCAGCTCAGCAGGACTTCCACTTGGAAGTCTTCTGTCAGAACTTCATGAGACTTGTTTGAGTTGCTGTTTGCATTTAAAATACATTTCTTTAAAAACTGACTCAAATTCAGTCTGGTAACTAATTTGCATTGACTTTCCACCCAGTTAGTGCCCATCATTGAAGTTTACCCACAGCCATGACAGGGGTGATGACAAAACATGGCCAAAAGCATTAGAATATAATCTCTACTCTTTTTTCTCAGGATTGCTTTAACTATTAGGGGTCTTTTGTTGTTCCATATAAATTTTAGGATTCTTTGTTCTATTTCTGTGAAGAATGTCATTGGGATTCTGATTGGGATTGCACTGAATCAGTACATTGCTTTAGGTAGTATGGACATTTTAACTATGTTAATTCTTCCAACCCATGAGCATGTAATATCTTTCCGTTTCTTTGTCTTCTTCAATTTCTTTCAAAAATGTCTCATAGTTTTCAGTGTATAGGTCTTTCACCTCTTTGGTTAAGTTTATTCCTGGATATTTTATTCTTTTTGTTGTGATTGTAAATGGGATTTTATTCTTGATTTCTCTTTCTGCTAGTTCATTGTTAGTGTACAGAAATGCAACTGACTGTTTAAAATTGATTTTGCACCCTGCAACTTTGCTGTAGCTGCTGATTATTTCTAACAGTTTTCTGATATATTCTTTAGGGTTTTCTGTATACAGAATCATGTCATCTGCAAACAGTTAAGAGTTCTCTTCTTCCTTTCCAATGTGGATTCCTTCTATTTCTTTTTCTTCCCTAATTGCTCTGGCCAAAACCTCCACTACTATCTTGAATAGAAGTGGCAAGAGTGGGCACCCTTGTCTTGTTCTGTTCTCAGAGGGATGGCTTTCAGATTTTCACCATTGAGTATGATGGTGGCTGTGGGTTTGTCATATATGGCCTTTATTATATTAAGATACGTTACTTCTATACCCATTTTATTGAGAATTTTTATCATTAATGGATGTTGGATCTTGTCAAATGATTTCTCTGCATCTGTTGAGATGATCATGTGATTCTTATTCCTCATTTTATTAACGTGGTATATCACAATGATTGATTTGCAGATGTTGAACCATCCTTGTATCCCTGGAATAAATCCCGCTTGATCACAAAGCTGGAGGCATCACAATCTCTGAGTTCAAAATATACCATAAAGCTACAGTAATCAAAACAGCATGGTACTCGCACAAAAACAGACACACGGATCAGTGGAACAGAATTGAAAGCCTAGAAACAAAACTACAGATCTATGGACAGTTAATCTTTGACAAACAAGTCGAGAACATACAATGGAGAAAGGAAAGTCTCTTCAGTAAATGGTATTTGGAAAACTAGACAGCCATATGCAAAAGAATGAAAGTGGACCATTATCTTGCACCATACACAAAAATTAACTCAAAAAGGGTTAAAGACTTGAATGTAAGACCTGAAACCATAAAACTCCTAGAAGAAAATATAGGCAGTACACTATTTGACATTGGTCTTAGCAGCATCTTTTCAAATACTATGTCTATTTGGGCAAGGGAAACAAAAGAATAAGTTAACAAATGGGACTACATCAGATTAAAAATCTTCTGCAAAGCAACAGAAACCATGAACAAAACAAAAAGACAACCCACCAACTGGGAGAAAATATTTGCAAACATTTATCCAACAAGAGGTTGATCTCCAAAATATGTAAAGAACTCATACAACTCAACAACAAACACAAACAAACAACCCAATCAAAAAACGGGCAGAGGATATGAACAGACATTTTTCCAAGGAAGATATACAGATGGCCAACAGACACATGAAATGATATTCAACATCACTAATTACTAGGAAAATGCAAATCAAAACTTCAATGAGATATCACCTTACACTAGACAGAATGGCTATAATCACCTAGACAAAAAACAACAAATTTTGGAGAGGGTATGTAGAAAAAGAAACCCTCATATACTGCTGGTGGGAATACAAACTGGTGCAGCCACTATGGAAAACAGGATGGAGATGTCTCAAAAAATTAAAAGTAGAAATACCATACTATCCAGCTATCCCACTACTGGGTATTTATCCAGAGAACTTCAAATCAATGATCCAAAGAGATTTATGCACCCCTATGTTCATTGCAGCATTATTCACAATAGCCAAGAGGTGGAAGCAACCCAGGTGGTGAATGGATAAAGAAGATGTGGTATAAATATACACTGGAATACTACTCAGCCATAAAAAAGACGAAATCATCCCATTTGAAACAACATGGATGGACCTTGAGTGTATGATGTTAAGCAAAATAAACCAGACAGAGAAAGAAAAATACTGCATGATTTCACTCATATGTGAAAGATAACAAATACATGGATAAAGAGAACAGATTAGTGATTACCAGAAGGGAAGGCATCAGGGGTGGGCAAAAGGGATAAAGGCGCACATATGTATAGTGACAGACAAAAATTAGCCTGCTGGTGGTGAGCATGATGAAGTCTATTTAGAAATTGATAAATAATAATGTAAACCCAAAATTACACAATGTTATAAACCATTATGAGCTCAAAATTACTGGAAAAAAATAATATAATCTCTAGGATCAATGAGGCACAGTCAAATCTTTTCAAATCCAGATCATGAAAAACCCTTGAAATAACTGATTAAAATAAGAAGTGACCACCCATTCAACCAGCTGAGCTGAGGAATTTACCTAATAAGGTTATTGGCTGTAATATTGCACACACAGGAGCAGAATGGAAAAGACTCTCACATCACAAAGGCCCAGTTGAAGCCAAAATTAAACATGCTGATCCTTGCTTTCGACCTGAGATAAGATGTAGAAATGCTGGCGCTTATCATTGATTAAGCATCTGCTTGGAATTTCTTTATTTCTTTTTCTGCTTTCACAGAATACCTGCTGCAGAAATGCACAAAACTGCAAGATCGTTGGAAACCAAGACATGAACTATTCTTTACATTTTGGTATAGTGACCCCAAGAGTGTATCATAAACAATGAACTGGGAGTTGAGCCAGGGGAAACAAGGCTATGATTTGCTACCTAGCCAGCTAAACTAAGAAAAGCACCAGTGGTATTTTGCACCCAAGGCACAAGGACAATTCTCGTTTAAAATACTTGTTTCTGTTATCATGTCACTGTTAAGCTGGGAGCTCTCCGCAGCTCCACCGATTGGATGGGGAAGGAAGTCATCCTCCATTTTCCTTGATCATTCCACCCCATCCAGTTTTTTGGGAGATGATAAAGATAAGATGTGCCAGATATAGATACACCCACGTGAGTCACAAAGCATATGTCCCATTCTTCAGTTTTGAAAATAGTCTTTGTACTACGTACCCGTCAGATTAGACTAGGTTATGCTGTAGTGACATCCTCCAAATCTCAGTGGCTTCAAACAACAAAGATCTATTTCTACTTGCATGACATGTTCCTTATTGCTATCTGGGGGCTCTACTCTAAATCATCCTCACGTGGGGACCTAAGCTGATGGGGCAACCAAACATTTGGAATGTTGCCAGGCTCTATGCTAAATAGTATGCTAATTCTTTAAACTTCTGCTTTTGTTTCATTGGCTGAAGCATGTCACCAGAACACTCCTGAGTTCAATCCTGCCATGTATATGAAGGAATAAAAATCAGGATATTTGTGAACAGTGCTATGACCCTTTGAAAAGTTCTACATATTCCTGCTGGGAAGGGGTCATCAGAAAGGTAGAAAAGTGAAAGGAAACAGAAGTGAAGCACAGCCAAGAGCAGATTAGAGATGCAGATATGAGAAAATACACTGGGGGAAGATGGGATTTGTGGAGATGATTTTCAGTCACTCGTATGATCTATATTTAGATTTTTGACAGTTGCATATGCACAAGCAATCTCTCTTCTCACCTTCTCCCTACTTTGGCTCTTCAATTGATAAAGAGTGACAGGCAGAGGGGGTGATAAGCAACAAGATAGCACTATGCTTGTGTGTGTGTGTGTGTGTGTGTGCGTGAGAACATGCATTCTGGTATGGAAGAGCTGTCCTGTAAAGCAGGTTGTTCTATTAATCTTACAAGAAAACGACCAGGGTTGAGATGTCTGAGAATAGCGGCTAGCAAATAGCTCCCTTTATGACACTTGTAGGTGTCCACACCTTGTGCCCACCAGAAGCTCCTTGGCTATGGAAGAGGGAAATGTTGGAGATTCTATAGAACACATTCAGTACACTGAAATGTCTGAGTCAAAAGAATATCTCAGGCCCGAGAATGGATGCTCAGATCTGGGAAGCAAAATGAATGCCACAGACACAGATCCTCCTATTGAATATGAACCTAAGATACACTAAATAATGTTTTTAAAAATCCAGTGAGTAAAGGATGAGGCATTCCACAAAAGGGGCTGAGAAATCAGGAAGTTCTTTGAGGAAAAATCCACTTAGACACTTGCTTCAGCACTTCATTCACTGATATAAATTCAGTTGCATTAGGGAGATAAGAATTTCAATTAAACAACTAAAAAATACTTAGAAGAAAATATAGGTAAATAGTTATGTGATGTCTGGATGGGAAAGGCTTTTTAAATATAAAAGCTATAGGAGGGGCCGGTCTGGAAGCATAACAGTTAAGTTTGAGCACTCAGTTTGCACACTGTGCTTCGGCAGCCCCCAGTTCATCAGTTCAGATCCCTAGTGTGGACCTAGGCACCATTTATCAAGCCATGCTGTGGCCGGCATCCCACATATAAAGTAGAGGAAAATGGGAGCAGATGTTAGCTCAGGGCTAATCTTCCTCAAAACAAAAAAAAAAGGTACAGGAATATAACCGCTAAAGAAAAGATCAATAGATTTGACTACATAAAAATTTTAACTTATTTGTCAAAAAATCAAAACTAAAAGGTACGTCAAACTGGAGGAAATATAGACACCAAATATAATAGGCAAAGAGTTAACATCTTCACTACGTTAAGAGATAATAATCCAGTAATATAACAAAGAATATGGCTAAGCACAAAACTTCAACCTCAACTAGTAAATAAAGAAATGAAAGTTTAAAATGAAATATGGATACTATTTTATCTTTTAAATTAGCAAAATATTGGGGCAGGGCTGGTGGTGTAGCAGTTGAGTTTGCACGTTCTGCTTTGACGGCCCCGGGTTCGCCAGTTCGGATCCCAGATGGGGACCTATGCACCAGTCATCAAGCCATGCTGTGGCAGGAATCCCACATATAAAGTAGAGGAAGATGGGCACCGATGTTAGCTCAGGGCCAGTCTTCCTCAGCAAAAAGAGGATTGGCAGTGGATGTTAGCTCAGGGCAAATCGTCCTCAAAAAAAATTAGCAAAATATTTTTATATTATAATATTAAGTGCTGGTGAGGATTCAATGAAAGTGACACTCCCGATCAGTGAAAGAAAACATATTAACATGTTGCTAATGTTTACTTCTGGGCGATTTTGTGCCCATCTTTATACTTTTTTGAATTTTCAAGTTTTCTATCATTTAATTGTACTTTAAAAATCAGAAGGAGACTTCTACTTCCTGCCAAGATGGAGTAAAGCAACTAGGTTTATCCTTCTGTCTAAACACCCAAAAACTGAACGAATTATGTAAAAATAATCATTTTACCAATTACACTGGCTATCAGGTGACAAAGGATACCGGTGATCTCTGGGAGACAGGAAACAAACAAGGTAAACCTCCTGATTTCCAAAGTTATGGCTTTGGGAGAGTTTCCAGGTCAAGGCACAGGGAGAGGGGATACAAGGGAGGCCCAGCATGCTGCATAAATTGAGAAGAATAAGTTGGGAGTCAAAGCAGACCAAGCAGCTAGAATTTGCAGAACAGAATAGCAGAGAGGAGAGATTGCACAGAGAGAGAACCCTGGAGATCTAAAGAGGGTCCAGAATGCATTCAGCAGAACACTTATCAGCACATACATGTGAAGATACCACCCAAGGCTGAGGGAAGACTCACCCTAAAGGATTAGAGGAAACAAGTACCCAACACTCACATAGGGCTCGCAAAAATGTGTATCATCAGCCAGATTAGAAAACCTCACAGGCATTGGAAAGGGTATTCAGAAGGGTCTTTTCTCAGTGGTGGGGCAAAGTTAACCCTACAACAGTGGTTCTAAACCGTGAATAATTTCCCCCCGGAGACATTTTGCAATCTCTGTAGATATTTGTTTTTTATTGTCGTGATTTAATGGGGGTTCTAGTGGCATCGAGTGGGTAGAGGGCAAGGATGCTGCTAAATATCCTACAAAAAAGGATTATCCAGTCCAGAATGGCAATAGTGCTGAGATCAGAAACGCCCTAGTCTATATGCCATTTAGGTCCTGCCTGAAAGCAAAACCTGAAAGTTTCAAACTATTTCCAAGCAACTTAACTATGTCCCAGATTAAAGCTCAAGAATATTTATGGGAAGTAAAAAAGGTAAAATTCACAATGTCTGGCATCCAGTAAAAAATTACCAAGTGTGAAAAGTAGAAAAATATAATCCATAATGAGGAGAAAATCAATCTATCACAATTGAGTTAGAACTGGCATAGGTTATATTTAGCAGACAAAGACGTTAAACAGTTATTATAACTGTATTCCATGTGTTCAGAAGTTAAATAGAGACCTGGAAGGTATAAAAAAATGACTCAAATTGAACTTCTAGAGACAAAAAATACAACGTCTGAGATAAAAAAATACACTGGATGAGATTAACAGCAAATGAGACGATAGAACAAAAGAGTAATAAACTTGAATGTGTAGCAATAGAAACTACCCAAAATGAAACATAGAAATAAAAACAAACTTTAAAAAATGAGCACAGTATCAGTGGGCTGTGGAACAATTTCAAGTAGCCTAGTATATGTTTAATTGAAGTCTCCAAAGTGGGGAAAGGGAAAAAAATATTAGAAGAAACAATGGCCAAAATTTTTCCAAATCTGATAAACACTATAAACCCACAAATTCAAGAAATTTAATGAATCTCAAGCTAAGTAAATGTGGAAAAAACTACACCAAGTCTCATCATAATCAAATTGCTTACAAGTGATAAGTAGAAAAGCTTAAAAGCAACTAGAGAAAAAAGACATGAGAAGTACAGATGAACAAAGGTACTGATGACAGACGATCTTTCATTTTTTAATTACAATGCAAGCAAAAGACCATAAACCACATTCTTAATGCACCCCATCCACCCTAAAATCCTGTAAACCCAGATTTCTATACCCAGTGAAAATATCTGTCAAACATTAAGGTTAAACACAGACTCTTTCAAACAAACAAAGTCTAAATAAATTTCTCACCAGCAGACCCACACAATGAGAAGTGTTAAGGGGAGTCCTTCAGGCAGAAGGAAGATGATCTCAGATGAAAATATGGATCTACACAAGGTAATGAAGAGCACTGAAAATAGTAACTACATAGTGCTCCATAACTTATCTCTAATGTCTAAAGATACCAGTCTGAAAGAGGTTCTCTATGAACTTCAAAATCTGTGTTAGGACCATTGGCTGGAGCTCCTGGAGAAGCACATGTGCCAGCATTGTTTAAAATCAAGTCAATTCCTGACAGTTCCAATGCATTAGAGAAAAAGAAAATGTAAGTGCTGCAGGGTGATGTGGTGGCAGCAACTTTTGAAGAGTATATTTTTTCCACAGCAGGTGAGTACTAATACGTTTTATGCAATTTATCATCCTTGTCTTTGTTCAAGGGATTTTTTTGTAAAAATAAGAATAAAGATTTTTTTTAATCTTAAGACTATAACAAGTCAAATATTTCATGATTCCTCCATGGCCAGCCAATCAAAATACTCACGTAGGCTGGATAAACTTAAGAGCCACACTGTAATTTGATTCATTGTGCATTGATTCATTCAGCAACAGTTCATTCACTTGACCAATATTTATGGAGCACCTGCTATGTCCTAGGCATCATGCCAGTCCTGCAGATACAAGCATCAACAAGAAAGACAGAGTCCCTGACCTTTCGGTGCTTATTTACTTAAAATCCTATTGATTTCTGATCTTCACAGATTTACCACATCTTTAGAAAGCAGATCAGATAGGCAAAGTGTATAACATCTTTTAAATGGCTCCGATAAATCCCCCCTTTCCTCAAAATTTGTTACTATCTCAAATTGTTCATGCCTGGAGATCCACCGCCCCTTCGTCTCCAGGCTTTGTTCCCCGTACAAGCATCCAGACACTGGAGCTGAGAATAGGGCAGAGAGGAGCATGTATAACCCAGTCATTTTCACCTTCATCTGTAAGAATGTAACAAAGCCTTCTTTGTTGTGATCAGATTCTGGTGAGAAGACATCTGAGTTGAGAGATCCCAAGGACCCTGGATACGTGGATGCTGGAGGTAGGTAGACTATGGGGAGAGGCCAAAGACTGGGGAGGCTAGGACTAAAGAGAGGCTGAATATGTGCCACGGGCAGACTAGTGGTGGAGCAGTAAGTGTAGCTTACTGTACCAGTAAGGGCACCTGTGAGCGTACCCACATCATATTTGCCTGATGTTCACCAGGTAGCATCCACTCTCTCCCATTTGGCCCCTCTACCCGCTGTACTTCCACAGCAATTGCTGAGTCCACCATTCTCCCTAAAATTGGTCACAATATTCTATGCATGGCTAGCATTATTGTATCAGACACCTATTTATCTCACGTCACTTTCTTTTATTTAGTTTTTGGCTATCTCAATAAATAGCAAGGCTCTTGAGAGGGTGAGCTCTGTTTTCCTACGCCTTTATGCGTGGCAGCTTGGTGAAGTGAAAAGAATAATAAATTGATTCAGACTTGCTCCTGCCATTTAGTGTGTAACCTTACTATCTGTAAAGTGGAAACGATAATACTTTCTTTGCCAGGTCATTATAGGAATCCAGTGCCTTGATAAATGTAAAATGTTTCATAAGTTGCCAAGAAGCTTACCACTATTTTTTTACACATAATAAAAACAATAATAATAATAATAATAGTGGCCAGCCACTCTGCCAAATCATTTACGTAACTACGCTATAAGGGTGGTGGTATTGTTATCCTCGCTTTCAGGTGAGAAAACTGAGACTTAGAGAGGTTGAATAACTTGCCCAAGGAAGGTTATACAATGGGTATGTAGGAGCAGGACTCCTTTTATTCATTAGTTTTCTTTGTATTTTCCTTTGTGCCCAGCAGAATGTATCACTTACGTAAACTTTGATTACGTGGTTAAGACTATTTACACGGTTTGTGAAGGGAAACAGAACTATCTTTCCCTTTGTGGGCTCCCCTGCTGTAATAGGCTGTTACTATGTGTTTACATTTAAAGAACATAGCTTGCCCTGAGGTTTACCAGAAGTCCTACAATACAACCCTCTGCTCTCTGTGACTGGGGGTGATTACACTTAAGACTAGGCAGCACTAACTTTCTCCTTTCAAGCTTTTCACTCTTTGTCACTAGTTGTAAATAAGTCTCCTCCCTGGTAGATAGTGTTTAAAACCTCTCATCTGACTTTCTGTCTCACTGAGCATCTCAGTCTGGGAATCCTTGGGGGCAATAGACTAGCAGAGCGATGCCTGCGTCGGCCTCCTGCATCTCAGCGTCAGCCGGTTGGTGAAGGCCCCGAAGGGCTTTATTCACTGTCATGACAGCACTGCTCCTTCCAGCTTTTATCTCCCCTACACCTTTGAATACAGATTTGTGGTTTCCAAGTTGCAGTATTTGCCACACTCCTAAAAGATATTTACCATTTTTATCTGCAGGTGAAAGTTCTGGTTCCAAAGAAGCCAAATACAAAATGTGGTTCTTTGCAGGCTCGACTGAAAAATGAACACAAATCCAGTTTGGTTGTCTTTGTCTTCCTGTGACGGGCCACACAGGTTTAACACAACATTATGGTACACCCAATATAATCACCCCCCCCCCAAAATCAGAGTTTACATTTTACAGACGAGGAATCAGAGGTCCAGGGAGCGGACATGGCTTTTCCAGGATCACACGGCTTGTTCGCGGCAGACGTTGGTGCAATTCCAGCTCTCCTGAGTTCCCAGCACACAGTTCTTTGTTAACGCAAAGATCTTATTTGGTCCTGACTCCGTAACCAAGGTCCCCACGTGTCTGGTGGACCCAGGTCTCTAGAGGTCAATCTTAAAATGCTGGTGGGATGGAGTATTCCATTCCATTTACTTCACCCCACCCCCACTCACGGAAGATTGCAGAGGAGAAAAAGGGGCTTCTCGAAAATCTGGTTCCCGTTCCCCCGACATTTTCAATCATCTCTACATAATGAACATTCGAAAACCATACGGAGCTCGAGAGCCTGAAATCTCTTTACCAGCTAATCACACGGTTCTGAGCAATGAGAACCGGAAAAACAAGGGCAGAGCATTATTTGATTTGTGTCGAGCTGGTGATGTTATCTCACTCATCATTGGTCAGGGAGGTTGGTCCCTCTTGCCTTTCCGGTTCCCATTTTGAAAACATCATATGAGATTAAATTAAAGGCATCACCAGCCTTGTGTTTTACTTGGTACTTAAAGCTGTCAGGAAGGACCCCTGGGCATCACACTGGGTAGCTGGACCATGAGCCCTGCCTGGTATGACCCCCTCCTCTCTGGATTCTTGAGAGAAATCATTTGTTTGCATCAAGTCTTTCAGCATCAGCCCTGGAGTGCCGACAAGCACAGCTACACAGAGCCAAGCGTATGTCTGTCTCACCAGTTTCATATTCATGCCAAGAAGTTCTCAGTTACACCTGAAATTTCCAAGTAGCTTCAGTGTTCTTGGAGCATCTGAAGATGAGGCAGCAAATAGAAAACAAAAAACACTGGCAGCCAATGAGCCAGGCGAAGAGCATGTGGTTGAGGATGCTGATAAATCTCTCGCTCTCTGACACCCTCAGCTATCACCCTCATCTTCTCCCGAGGCTGCTGCATCCTGCTGGTGCGTTGATTGAATTTGGAGCAGATAGACCGCATTGGCTCCATTGTAAAGGGAGCGCTTGTGTCATCAAGAGAGGTGGCATGCTTTACTTGGGAAGAGACGATGAATTTAAACAAGTGAATCCCTTACAATTATTCAATCAAATGCTAAGAAACCTGGACATGGGCAGGAGGAAGCGGGCAAGTCACCCAAGGAAGGAGAAGAGGGCCATTATCTGCTTTCCCAGGCTTTCACCTCCTGGCTCTCCAGCCATCCTCTCCGTTCTGCTCCACAGGTTTCTGTTTTAAATTAGCTCTAAATGAAATAGAATTAAAATATGATGAAGTAGCGTTTAGGTGACACTGCTTTGCATTTAAATCCCTGAAAAACATTGCAGTTCCAAATTCTGAACACTTTCTGGTTCAAGGCATAATCTGAGTTTGAGGATAAGAATGATTTTTATAGCTTCTTTTCAAGAAAGAAGAAAAAAATTGCTAAATTTAACAAGAAAGAATGTGAGTAGTTGAAGAGGAAAAGCCTAGCACAGCAAAGAGAATAGCTGCTGGCCCCTTGCCTCTGACTCCAGGTATGAAAAGGGAGAAATGTGGGGGATGGATTTGACTTTTCTTACGTGTTGAAGAAGTTTAGCAATATAGTTATAGTCTTTAGAATGGGCCTATCTGGTACCTTCCAACTCTGCGATATGTGACCATAAGACCAATTCAAATTAGATGTGAAGCCAGAAGAGTCCTTATTGAATGAGGAACCACTTGCCAATTCCCTTATCCACCCCTCCAATCATCTTTGCTGAAGCTCAGACAGGCTGGTAACTTGTCCGAGATTGTCCTGCTGGGTGGCAGCAGACTGACTACTACCACCAGCTAGCCCCTGGTGGACTTTCCATTCTCACATTATCTAGTACAGTGTCCAAGGCTCCAGGCTGAAAACCCAAAGCTACTAAGATAAAACCATGAGAACCCCAAGGATGGGAAACTCTCTGATCTTACTGAGAAAAAGGAGGCTTTTGACTCAGCCCGAGACAGTTTTTGAGATCCATCATAAAGTCTCAGACTTAGAAGCATTCCTTGAGGTGCTCAGTCTTTTCGAGGATGCACACTTCTTTGCATAGGGTGACAGAGAAGAAACATCTTCCATGCTCACAGACACATTATTGGTTACAAACCGTATGAAACCCTCCTGAAGAGTTCTGAAGCCATATTCGAGGAGGATGATTACAAGAGAAGAATCCTCAAATATCAACAGCACTTTGAAGAGAAATATAAAGACCACTGCTGTGATTCCTTGATAATTACAGTTACTGAGGAATTAAGTGTGCCTGTGAGCAGATAAAGAAGAGTCTCTTGGGCTGGGCTCCCAGAGAGCAGTCGTGGGGGCTGAGGGAATCCCTTCTGCATTGTCTGCATGCAGAAAACAGGCTCTCTGGGGAAGTTCCGTAAAGCAGAAATGTTCAGTGCTGCTAATGACAGAGAGGAGCTCACTGACCAAGGGAAGCATCAGGTCTCAGGTTTAGCTGAACATCCACACTACTGAGAGACTATGAAAAATCAAGTTCACTCTCACAAGAAAAACAGGTAAGGGACATGATAGACAATAAAAGATTGAATAAATACAAAAGGAGAAAAAATGCTCAGGGTCACATAATATAGTAAAAGATATATTTTTTGATATGTCAAATAGAAAAAAAAAATCACTCTAAAATTGTAATCCTCTCTTTCCAGCCTTCTCATTTAGCTCTTGTAGAAGTCTGTAACCCAACATATAAAATAAATATTGAGTACATACTGATGTAAATCGTTGATTGAATAAGTAAGTGTCGGTCAAGAGACAAGTCTCCCACGTAGAAGCATCCAGAAGCATTTATGCGGATGCTCAGCTCTCAGGGAGGTGGAGCATAAGCGTGCAGTGAGCAAAAGGACAGAATAACAGGAGTAACTTTACAGTAGAGAAACGTGATAAACACTGTCTCAGCCAGGTGATCAAGGTCAACTTCAAAAGTTATAAGTCACATTCATAGGATGTACCCTGGATGCGAGGTCATGAGAATGGCGCTTTCCTTCTGTGGTTTTCCTCCCCTAAACCCATAATCCCGGTCTAATAGTGAGAAACATCAGATGAATCGAAATTGAAGGGCATACTCCAGTATGCGTGATCAGTATTTTAATCCTCAGAGCTGTCTCGGTCATCAAAAACAAGAAAAGTCTGAGAAACTGTCACAACCAATAGCCTGAGGAAACGTGACAACGAAACATAATGTAGTATCCCGGATGTGATCCTGGAACAGAAAAAGGACGTTAGGGAATCCCTGAGGAAATCTGAATAAAGTATGGACTTCAGTTAATAACCAATAACCAATACCAGTATTGGCTCATTTGCAACAAATATACATACCAATATAGGGTGTTAAGACTAGAGGAAAGTGGGTGTGGTGTATACATGAACTCTCTGTACTGTCTATGCAGTCCCCTGTAAATCTGAAACTCTTCTAAAATAAAAAGCTTGTTAATAACAACAAGCAATAAAAAGCTCATCATCAGAGCTAAGTAATGTCCAGGAAGGACGGTTAATAAGCATTTCATCTGCTCTCCAGCTTCACATTTGGTTGAAACTCTTTATAGGGGTCGTATCCAGGTTGGAACAAGTGTGTAAAGGCACCAATAATCTTTCCTGCTCTGAATGTTACGGCTTCGCTAGGTTTCCTGGCGGATGAGAAAGTTCTTTCTGACCCCTCCCCTTCTTTCTGTCTCATTACAATCCTGTCACCCGAGCTGGAACAGACAGCAGACGCTACAGCAGGCCCTTGCTCTGCTCCGCCTCCCCCATACCTCTAGAGTTTGATTTAGTAATATGCCTGAGCTGCCTCATTATTTCAGTGTAGCCAACAGGAAATTAGGACTGAAACCACATTAATTCTTAATTGGGTATCTTTTATTAGACAGAAAACGGGAATTACCGTGTGCTTATCTGCACCTGAAGAGAGTAACCGGATGCAAACCAGCCTCTGCGGATCTCAGACCTGCCCCTCTCACGCTGCCTTCTCCATGGCTGGTTGTTCGCCACAGGATCTGAGCGCGAAGGAATCAGGCATGGTAAGAACAATACTGGCAATGACAGTGATAACACCTAACGTTTATTGAGCACTTACAACGTGCCAGGTACTGTTCTATTTGTGTGCTGGTTTTGGGGTTTTTTAATAAGCATAAGCCGGATTCAGAAGACCACGAGTAAGTATAACAACTTTATTTTCCTCCTGCCCATGACTTTCAGTTACGCTATCCTGTCACACTCCTAGACAATATAGCGGTCAAATTAACATTTTTCAAGTCACTCTCGGGTGTGAACAAACATCCTCACTCTGCTACGCTAAAAAGTCCAGTCCAGTCTCAAATCAAAGCTGCAATCTCCAGCCCATCTGAAGCTTCTCCTACTGAAGCTCAGGCTTCACTCAGATTGAAGAAACCTGCAATGGACAGGAGGAGGGTGGGGTGATCCTCTTCTGTACCATTCCTCCGCCTCTTTCTTCTTTCACTACCTGCCTCTATCTGTGTTCGAGGAGAGGGAGGGAGAGAGGACAGGGAAGGAGCAGATAAGGTCTCAGCTGACCAGTGCTGATATAATCTGGTGTTGATGTCCCCTGGGGAGGTGCCGCATACCCAAATCCTCGCTCTCACAGAGCGCTGTAGGAGTCCCCTGACTGTACACCTACTATCGACTAGTACCGGGCCTGCCTCTCTGACTAGCTCTTGGAAACCCTCCTTATCACCAACTTATAACACAATAGCCCAAAGAATTCTCTCCGTTAGGGTTACCCAGCCTTGTTGGGCTGATCTCTAGAGATGGAGCCCTTTCAAGTTAACTCAAACCTGATTACTTTTTATGGGGTCCACTCTAGCCCATGGGAAACAGCTTCTCATCTCCTGCCTTTAGTGGAAGCTGCCTTGGCCCACTGTAGCTTTGCTCGTCAGTCAGCAGGAGCAGCTCTGATCATGTAAGACTTTTCCCCTCTCCACTAATCCTCCCTCCTCTGTGTTCAAGCAAAAGAACCAAATATACCCTCACTTCCACCTTCCCCATAACAGGTTTCCAAGCGTATGTCAAGACTGAGCTGAGGTGGGGAAGAGAGAAGCATTTGCATTGAGTGAGTGCTTGAAGTTTTGGCATTAAACTGATTTGCCTCAATATTTTAATATGTTATAATAAAACTGAACCACATGAGATACCACTGCACAGCCATTAGGAGGGCTGCTATCAAAAACACAGAAAATAATAATTGTTGGTGAGAACTGGAGAAATTGGAGCTCTTGTACACTGTTGGTGGAAATATGAAATGGTGCTGCCACTATGGAAAACAATATAGCAGTTCCTTGAAAAACTAAGTATAAAATTATAATATGATCCAGCAATTCCACTTCTGGGTATATGCCCAGAAGAACTGAAAACAGGGTCTGGAAGAAATAGCTGCACATGCATGTTCATAGCAGCATTACTCACAATAACCAAAAAGTGGAAGAAACCCAAATGCCCATTGACAGATGAATGGAAAAACAGAATGTGGTATATACATACAATGGAATATTATTCAGCGTTAAAAAAGAAGGAAATTTTGACACTTTCTACAACATGGCTAAACCTTGAGGACATCATGCAAAGTGAAATAAGCCAGTCACAAAAGGACTAATATTGTGTGATTCCACTTATATGAAGTACCTAAAGTAGTCAAATTCATAGAGAGAAAAAGTAGCATGGCGGTCGCCAAGGGCTAGGGAGCGGGGCAGTGGGAAGTTGTTGTTTAACGGGCGGAGTTTCAGTTTTGCAAGATGAAAAACATTCTAGAGATGGATGGTGGTGATGCTCACACAACAATGTGAATGTACCAAATACCACTGAACCGAACACTTAAAAATAGTCAAGGTGGTACATTTTATGTTATGCATATTTTATCACAATGAAAAATTTTCAAAAACTAAAATGTAGCCCTACTAAAGTGATAAAACTGGGGTTAACAGAAAAAAATTGAAATATTAATAAATGAAAATAAAATCCATAAGTGACAAGGAAAGCAGTGGAGTCAGCTCAAAGTGTGACTAAAAGATAGGAGAGGAGAGTCAACATAGCACTGTTGAAAGACTGTAGTGAGAGAAAAAAATAAAACTTTTTCATGATTTATTCCCACTAAAGACAGCTTGTTCCATAAGCTAATTACATGTACTAATTTATTCTCACAACAGTTTTATGAGGTGAAGTAGAAAGATAAATTTTCTGAAGAAATAAACTGTTCTTAAATGATACATTCTGATCTTCCATCAAAATAAACCAATTTTACTGACTATTATCTGTATGGATCTTTTGGGACCAGGCCTTACTTTTAGTGACTGTTGAAGTAAAATTCAAAATGGCATATTTCAAGTAGAAGAGATATTTGGGGGGAGGAGGACTATCCTAGCTCCTAGTAGAGTACCTGAAATTAATCAGTCAGTCTCAAGGTGAAGACAAGGTGGCAGAATTGTTTGATCACTGAACATTCCCCACCTACAACCTATCTCCTTCTGGCAGAAAATGGATTCAGATTTCAGTCGGTCTATAAATCCAGCAAAACTCGGGGTATGATGACCAGCCTTAGCTCCTGACGCTGGATAGGGCAATCACTAACCCACTGTGCCCTTATGTTGTCATTTTTCATTTTCCATGCCCGCTGCCCTTGGTCTGTTATATCAGGTTACAGCTGTTACCTCAGTCACTCTCCTGTTGTCGTCTACATGGAGTAGTTCACAAGATAATCAGCAGGATTTGTTGACATTGTCATTATTGTTGTTGTTGTTTTCTATCTATTAGCAGCATTTTTAGGACGTGAGGAACTGAGATGTTTCGATTTCAATCACCTCTTTTCTGGAAATTCTTGCCAAAAGCCATTTAGGGTTCTAATAGGCGCTATTAAGACAAGAGGCCCACTTCAATTGGCAAAAACGTTGTCTTTTTCTTCCATTAAATCCAGAAAATGTTGACATTTTTATATGTTTCTTTAGTATTGGTTCAACTGTTAAGGAGTTGTAGGAATATCAAGAACTTTGAAAACAGAACCAGGAAATTGAAATGGAAGCAAACAAATGCTGGCTATTAAGCTGGTGGCATTGTACTCCATGGAATATAAGCGCACAGTCTGTGTTGGCGTGTCCTTATAGAGAGAATGAAAGGGGTCACATTGAGGGTTCTAGCTATCTATTTCTGTGTAGCAAATTATCCAAAAACTTATCAGCTTAAAACAACAGGCGTTTATTATTTCACAGTTTCTGTGGCTCAGAAATCAGGTGTGGCTTAGCTAGACGGCTCTGGCTCAAGGTCTCTCGTGAGGTTGCAGTCAAGATATTGGCTAGAGCTGCAGTCATCTCAAGACTCAACAGAGGCTGGAGGACCTGCTTCCAAGATGGTGCCCTCTCATGGCTATCGGAAGACGGCCTCAGTTCCTTGCTGTTGCCAGGAGGCCTCAGTACCTTGCCACATGGCTGCTCTACCAGATGCATTTGCGTGTCTTCACAGCATGACAGGTGGCTTCCCTTCAGAGTGAGTGATCTAAAAGAAAGGTAAAAGAAACAGCAACAGAGATTTTTTTTTACCAAACACCATCACTTCCACCATATTGTATTCATTAGAAGCAAGCCACCAAGTGCAGCCTGCACTCAAGAGGAGGGAGATTAAGCTCCATCCCTTGAAGCAAGGAATACCAAAGAATTTCTGTACTTTTTTTTTTTTTAAAGATTGGCACCTGAGCTAACAACTGTTGCCAATCTTCTTCTTTCTTTTTTTTCTGCTTTTTCTCCCCGAACCCCCCCCCAGTACATAGTTGTATATTCTAGTTGTGGGTCCTTCTAGCTGTGGCCTTTGGGACGCCGCCTCAACGTGGCTTGGTGAGCGGTGCCACATCCGTGCCTAGGATCCGAACCAGCGAAACCCTGGGCCGCCAGAGGGGAGTGCACGAACTTAACCACTCAGCCACGAGGCCGGCCCCTCTGTACATATTTTAAAACCACCACATTAAGATCTGGTGATGGCTGTTATTGTTTTGTTTGTTTGTTTATTTTTCACTTATGCTCACAGTAAGCAGAAGTATCCTCAAATGAAACAAATATGGACGCCAATTACACAGAACTATTTTCATAAAATATAATATGATACCCTTTATTTTCAGCCACAAGAAACAAATGATTTTTCTCCTTTGAGAGTGAAAAACAGAGAAACTCTTAAAAATCTGCACTCCAAAATTCTAGATAAGAATCAAAACATTTTAAAATGCAAATTATTTCATATTTCTCTTTTTCCAGTACAAAAAGTGATATTTTAATAAAACAGCATCAATTAAAGAAACTACTAATGTTTACACAAAGTTACAATCCTAGATTCAAAATGACTCAGGTCCAATCTTATTTCCTGCCTAATAACAATAGTTAAATCAAGGAGGTAATTCTTGATGAAAATCTAATGCCCAGCCTTTTATAAAAAATTACCACAAACTTGTCACTTAATCAACTAGCATTCATGGTGTAAATTAACATTCATGGTATAAAACCGTTGAGTTCTATCTAGGTTGATTAAACAAGGCAAACCAGGACCCATTCTCATTAAAATGGCTTCAATTTACCTCAATAGCATGGAAGTGCTTTCACGTGTTATTTATGTTTTCCTTTTATAGAATGCATTTTAAAAATCGCAAGAGGTATGAACATTTGAAGCATGGTTAAGGACATCAGAAAAACTTCTTTGGGGTTATTCCATACACAATTTTGAATTATCCAGTACTTTTTGGAAAACACATCCAGAAGTGGTTGTTTAGGTGCCTTCTTTTTTCTAAGCAAGATCAAAATATTGGTCTTTATGCTGCCCTTGAAATTGTCTTTGTTATCAAAATTAGCATCAATATGTTGCAATATATTGTCATAAAGCCCACCTGTCTTTACAATTCCTAAATTGAACTTAAAGCTCAAAGACGGTGGTTTAAAGTCAGGGGCCCACCCTGTGGCCGATGGTTAAAGTTCTGCATGCTGCGCTTCACCCACCTGAGTTGGCGGGTTCGGATCCTAGGTGTGGACCTGCTCCACTCATCAGCCATGCTGTGGAGGCGTCCCACAGACAACGTTGAGGAAGATTGGCACAGATGTTAGCTCAGGGTGAATCTTCCTCACAAAGGAAAAAAATTTAAAAAATAAAGTCAGAATATCCTCTTACCTTCTTGCAAATCACCCGAAAGTCACAAGGAAAATGAGAAATAAAAAATGCAAACTCCAACTGTTTACAATAGCCAAGACATGAAAGCAACCTAAGTGTCCAGCAACAGACAAATGGATAAAGAAGATGTGGTACATATATACAATGGAATACTACTCAGCTGCAAAACAGAACAAAATCATTCCATTTGCAATAACATGGATGGACCTTGAGAGAATTATGTTAGGTGAAATAAGCCAGCGAGAGAAAGATTATCTGTGTATGACTCCACTCATATGAGGAATTTAAAATTATGGACTAAGAACAGTTTAGTGGATACCAGGGGAAAGGTGGGGTGGGGGGTGGGCACAAAGGGTGAAGTGGTGCACCTACAACACGACTGACAAACATTAATGTACAACTGAAATTTCACAAGATTGTAACCTATCAATAACTCAATTATAAAAACAAAAACAAAAAAAAACAAAACAAGCAAACAAAAATGCAAACTCCATTTGTGGTGAAACTAGGCAGGAGAAAACTCTACAACACCAAGAAGATGGAAAGGCTGCCAAAAGCAGAGCTCAAGCAGGAATATGTATTAAAGGATAGACAAAGGACCAAGAAAAGGCAAAAGTCCAAGAAGAGGAGGGGACCACAAGTTCCATTTTGTGTAAGGTTGAAAACAGGATTGAAGTTGGAGCAAGAAACACTAACTGAGAATAAGACAGGCAATCTGAAAAGAAGATCCAACAGTTTTTAATATTTATGCACCAAAAAAATAGACTATTCATGGAACATAAACCATAATCCAGGTCTCTCAAAAACTTTGTGAGTTTTCTAGATACTTGATCCCTCTTGTGTTGATAGCCACACCCATACTTCTTTTCAGATATCCTTCTCTCTCCAGAATTAATTATACATACTCTGGGAAAATCAAAAGACCGTATCCACAGACTTTTCCAGAGGCATTTTATGCAGATGAAACAATCTACCTGGGATCCTTTGGATGGAATCCATGGGTTCTGATATATAGTACTTTTATGATCACTTCTTTCTAGATATTCCAAAATTTTGGTTTTAATATCAGATCTTTGAGTCAAAAGTTCTTTAAGAGGGAATTTTTAATTTTCCAATTGATAGAGGCTTTTTAGTTTCTATCTTTATTTTGATTATGTAGTATTATTGCATTGTGTTAAGTGGATGTTTCTGTATTTTTTCTTCTTTTTAGAATTTATTGAACTAAATTGTCATAAGTGCTGGATTAAGACTATAATTGTTAAGACATAAAACGTTTGTTCTCTCCAACTTTCTACTGTCAGGAAACAGGCTGAGATAGCCTTTTCTTTAACGCCTGCTTCGGAAGTGGTTAAGGAACATGATGATAAAGGAAGCACCTTCCAGAAAGCAGAGTCAAGGGCCATAGAGAGAAATAAAATCGGTACCCACTCCAGGGAGTAAAGTTTAGGCTAGTAAAGAGAAATGTTCTACTCCCGGGATAAAGGGGCCAGGCAATACTTGCCCACAGGCTTTGAGTATTGCTATAGACTAATGAGGGCCCTGTGCCTCCTCTGCAGCCCCTTCTTGAACAGATGTGCTTGTGGACATCAGCCTGCCCCGCCCCATTGTCGCATGGCAGATAAACAAGAGGAAATAATTGCTCTTTAAATTCACAATTCTCCCAGTCAAGAGGAACCAATTCAAAACTAATATAAACGAGATCCCACATGTCATAATTGGATGAGACTTTGGCATGTCTTGTATAAAAGTAAGTACATTTTGCCCATGAGGGGGACGTAAAAAATTACATAAAAGAGTGGGCTGTGGGGGCTGGCCCCGTGGCCAAGTGGTTAAGTTCGCGTGCTCTGCTGCAGGCGGCCCAGTGTTTCGTTGGTTCGAATCCTGGGCGCGGACATGGCACTGCTCATCAAACCACGCTGAGGCAGCGTCCCACATGCCACAACTAGAAGGACCCACAACAAAGAATATACAACTATGTACGGGGGGGCTTTGGGGAGAAAAAGGAAAAAAATAAAATCTTTAAAAAAAAAAAAAAGAGTGGGCTGTGGTAGAATAAATTGCTGTCCTCAATTCTTTATGCCCACTCAGTATTAGAATTATATAGCTACTTCCTTTGCCGTGCTACTTTACAGTAACACCAACTATAGAGGGCAGAGTATATTTTCCCAAGTCACTGATGTTGGGGTTAGCCAGGTGTTTGTGTTAGCGAATAAAATTTGGTTATAAATGACAGCATGCAAGTACCAAGCTGAATGACTGAAGAGGTATCATATGTTTCCTTTTGTCCTCTGTGCTCCTGCCATTCATCTTGTGCAACTGACCCCAGGTAGCCACTGGACTAGAGAGGATGAGAGACACGTGGAGCAGACACGAATCAGAACTGCAACTTTGAGCCTGAAGCCTGGAACCTGGAGGCTAGAGTCCAGCCTAGCTTAGTGGAGTTGCAGCCAACCTGTAGATCCACAAGCAAGAAATAAATGTTTGTTGTTCTATGTCATTGAGATTTGGAGTGGTTTGTTACATAGCAACAAACCACAGGAAAAACTGGAAGAAACCACAAATACGTAAAAATTTTTTTAAATAATAAGAAAGAAATATCTATAACTATAGAAAATTACAATAATTGTATAGACTTCTTTGTTCAACTCTGTGCAAATAAATTTGAAAAGCTGGATAAAATGTGTAATTTTCTTGAAAAGTACAATTTACCCAAACCAGCTCCAGACAAGATAGTCAATCTTAACAGACCAGTTTCTATAGAAGAAATAGAAAAAATTTTCAAAGAGCTCTCTCACTAACTTCCTATTTTAAAAGTAATGGGCTCAGATCGTTTCACAGGGAAATTCTAAGAAATCTTTAAATAACACATACTTCCAATATTATTTGAGCTCTTCTAGACCACAGGGGAAAAAAGGACAACTTCCAAGTACTTTTTAATGAAATGATATTTATATCAACACCCAGCAAAGAGTTAACAGGAAAAGTAAAGTACAGATCATACTTATGTGTAAATATTAATAAGAAAAGTATTTCATAAAATATTATCAAATAATATCTAGCTATAGTAGGGTAACACATGTGACCTAATGGAGCTTATTCTGGAAGTGGAAAATGTATACTGCTGAAAGAAACTTATTAATATGTTTCACTATATCATATCCTAAGAATAAAAATTATATTATTATTTCTGTGAGTGATGCTGATAATGTGTTTGATAAATTGAACATACATTCTTACTCAAGATTTTTAATCAAATAGAAATAGATATTCTCTTAACGTGATCAAATAATTTTGTCTCAATCCAGAGCAAACTAGCCTTATGCTAATGAAGAAGCATTCTTAAAGTCAGGAATAAGGAATAATACGAGGACGTCCATTATCATTGCCTTTTTTCTTTTTTGGTTGTTACAAATAGGACATCTACGAACGTCGTTATACATATCCCTCAGTGGGCGTGAACATGAGTTAGTTGCATTTGGATACACACATAGGGTTAGAATTTCTGGATCAGAGTATGTGAAGTTTCAATTTTATTAGACAGTGAAAAATAGTTGTCCACAAGGATTACACCAAATACTCGCCCACCTGCTGTGTATGGGAAACCACATTCTCACATACATTTAGTATTGTCAAACTTCTTAATTTTTGCTGTAAGCTGCAGTTATTTTAGTCTAAAAGAAAATAACATTAATTAGACACTGTGTGCCAGACAGTTTCACATGTACTGTCTTATTTTAACCCTATATTTTATCATTCTCATTTTATAGATAAATTGTGTCCAAAGCCACAAAGCTCCCCCAGCAGGCAGCTCTTCTTCCCAATCTAGTAGATAAGTTGAAAGTCTCGACTGGTATGGAACAGCCCACCAAGGAGCACAGAGGGCAGTAGACAGATCTTCCCAGGACACGCACAAAAGGTATTCTTAGCACCCTCCAGAATACCTCGCACCAAGACAGCTTTTAGGTGCCAAGGAAAGAATGCAGACTTAGGAGGCAAATGGCCTGGGATGGAATCTCTGCCCCACTGACAATATCATTCCCGAGTTATCTGGGCTCCCTCTCCTCGGTTAACGTTGGCTCTATCCCGTTTACTCTTTCCAGTTCCCATCAGCTAACCTATCCCGTAGGTTGTTCCTTAGATAACAGCTGCCTCATCCATTTCTCCCTCTGCTCCTCCAACTATTTCAGACACGCTCTTGGGTTTTTTTGAAATTTTCTTCTGCCTCATGCATTAATCCACTCATTACACACCAACAAGATTCTAAAATATTGCTTTGTTCATACCATTTTCCCTGTTTAAACCCTTTAAATAGAACCCCATTGCCTATAATAAAACCCAAATTATTTAGTGAGGCATTTTCAACAATCTGACTCTAATTCCTAGTGTTATGTGCAATCCTTCCTTCCTCCCTCCCTTCTTCTTTACTTCTTTCCTTCAACAAATATTCATGAAGCATCTAGTATGCACCAGGCACTGTACTGGTCAGTGGAGACTCATTAATAAAGAAAGAAGTGTAGATCCTACCCTCAAGAAGCATATCGTCTATGGGGGAAAGAGATTTTAATCAAATATTGACACAACTACACAAATACAAATGGAAATAAACACTAGGTAGGAAAAGTTGTGTGTGTCATGCAAGTGTATAACAAGGTTTTTGAGCTAGTTAAGTGGAACTTTGCACTCCAGGGGAACCATCCACACAGAATGGAGTTGTGCAACATGGCAGCCTTGGTCTGAACAGTCAGACAAGGCTTAAGTAACAGACGCTAGTGTTGTGAACCAAAGTATATGTTAGGGTTGGCCAGGCTCAGCAAGGGGCAGATCATCCCAAGCCTAGAGAATAGTATGTGCAGAAGGAGCTTCACATGTTCACAGAACTGAGAGGAAGTCATGGGACTGCAGTGCAGAGAGCACATAGTGTCTGAGTTCCATCCAAGCCAGTCACCTCACTATCCCCAGATCACGCTTTGGAACCACCAGCCTCTAGCCCTTTGCTCTTATATATTTTATTACCCTCCTCCTTCTTCATTACAATTTAGTTCATAGCTCAAGACAGGTCATAGCCCTTGATGCAAAACCTAAAACTGCAAAACTTCTAAAGGGAGACAGGAGAAAGACTGTGACCTTGGGGTAGCCAAAGGTTTTTTTTTAAGATTGACCCTGAGCTAACATCTGTTGCCAATCTTTTTTTTCCTTCTTCTTCTTCTACCAAAAGCCCCCCAGTAGATGGTTGTATATTCTAGTTGTAGGTCCTTCTGGCTTTGCTATGTGGAATGCTGCCTCAGCATGACCCAATGGGTGGTGCTAGGTCCATGTGCAGAATCCAAACCAACAAAACCCTGGGTCACCAAAGTAGAGTGCGTGAACTTAATCACTGGCTCATAGGGCTGACTTCATCAAAGATGTTTTAGATATGACACCAAAAGCATGACCAAAAAGATAAAACTTCATAAATCGGACTACATCAAAATTTAAAACTTTTGTTCTTCAAAAGACACTATAATAAGAATGAAAAGGCAAGCCACAGACTGAGATAAAATACATGAAATTACATACCTGATGAAGGGCTTGAATCCAGAATATATAAAGAACTCTCAGAACTCAATAATAAAACAAAAAACCTCATAAAAAGTGGACAGAAGACTTCAATAGACACTTGACCAAAGAAGATATTAGGATTGTAAATAAACACGGGAAAAAGTACTCAGCATCCTTAGACATTAGGCAAACACAAATTAAAACCATAATGAGGGAGTGACCCAGTGGCGCAGCAGTTAAGTTCTCACGTTCTGCTTTGGTGGCCAGGGGTTTGCTGGTTTGGATCCCAGGTACGGACCTACACACTGCTTGTCAAACCATGCTGTGGCAGGCCTCCCACATATAAAATAGAAGACGATGGGCACCGATGTTAGCTCAGGGCCAGTCTTCCTTGGCAAAAAAGAGGAGGATTGGCAGCAGATGTTAGCTCAGGGCTAATCTTCCTCAAAAAAAGACACAAAACACTATAATGAGATACCACTACATGTCTATTAGAATAGCTAAAATTAAAAAGATGAATCATACCAAGTGCTGATGTGGATGCAGGGCAAATGGAATTCTCATATGCTGCTGATGGCAATGCGAAATGGTACAATCATTTTAGAAATGGAAAATTTCAGAAAATAGTTTGACAGTTTCTTAGGCACTGATCACTTGACCCAGCCATTGCACTGCTAGGTAGTTACCTAGAGAAATAAAAGTGTATGTCCACCAAAGACTTGTTCATGTGTGTTCATAGCATCTTTATTAGTAACAACCAAAAACTAGAAACAATCTAAGAGTCCATGAGCAGACAGACAGATAAAAAAATTGTGATACATCCATGTAATGGGTTACTCCCCAACAATAAAAAAGAGTGAATTACTGATACCTGAAACTACTTGGAGGAATTTCAAAACAATTGTACTACTTAAAAGAAGCCACATAAAACTTTCTAACAAGTGCAAACTCTAGCGACAGAAAGCAGATCAGTGACTGCTTGGAGCAAGGAAGGTGTGAGAGGGAGGAATCACAGAGAGCATAAGGAAACTTCTAGGAGCGATGAATATACTCATCATCTTGAATTTTAGGATGGCTTCATGGGTATACATATGCCAAAATAGGTCAAGTTTTACATTTTAAATATGTACAGTTTATTGATGCCAATTCTAACTCAAAAAAGCTTCCAAAAAATAAAAAATATTTTCACAATGCAGTTCATAACTCAAATCTCTTAAGAGGTATCTCTCACTCCCCAGCCAACATTTTGCTCATCTGCTCTGAGACCCATGAGTACCTAATGCTTCTACTATTCATCTGACTCTTTATATTTATTGTGTTGCTGAGTATCATCTATGGGTCATGCTTCCAAGTTACCACCTCAAGAAAAGCATCAGCACGTCTGTTTCTCCCTCAGCCCCTGGAATGGTTCTTTGCCCATAGTAGGCCTTCAATAAATATTCTATTGAAAGATTCACGTTATGCCTCTAGAGAAAACATTTTGTTTTGCTTTCCAGAAGACAAATTATGGGACTTCCTCCAACACTTGATCGAGTTGATAGAAACAAATTCCTAATTTATACTTAAGCTGCACATTGCCAAACACGGCAATTTCCAATGTGAAAGATATTTACCAATCTAAAAGCTGCAATAAATCACGTGTGACAAAATCAGTGTGCTTGGCCAAGGATCAGGGGAATTCACATCAAAACCCACACAATTAACCAATGCTGCCAAAGTGAATGTCTCAAAAGAAGCTTATTTGTAACTGTTCTTATTTGTTTGTTCATTCATTTGTTTATTCCTCACCTCATTCCAAAATGCGTATGAGCAGAATAAAGCGAAAAATGGTACAAAAAATTCATGTGTTCCAGAATAATTTGGTATCTCAGATTTAGAGAATCTAACTTGTTTTGTTTTGTTTTTGGTGATGTAGATTGGCCCTGAGCTAACATCTGTTGCCAATCTTCTTTTTTTTTTTTTCTCCCCAAAGCCCCAATACATAGTTGCATATCCTAGTTGTAGGTTCTTCTAGTTCCTCTATGTGGGACACCACCTCAGCGTGGCTCGACGAGCAGTGCTAGGTCTGCACCCAGGATCCGAACCTATGAACCCCAGGCCATCAAAGCGGAGCACACAAACTTAACCACTCAGCCATGGGCCAGGCCCAAGAGAATCTAACTTTTGTGTCAAGGCTTTATTTTATCCTATACAATGTCACTAAGTATTTATTATTATATAAGGCGCCAGCACAGAAGAGTATTCAGTATTTCTAGTTTGAAACCTGGATATTAGCTGCCGTAACCACCACACCCCTCCAATATTTGGATAAAATTGCCATGAGCCCTCATTCCTGGTTGAAGTTCAATGCTCTTGCCAGGGTTTTAGCAAATTTCAGAGGAGCTCATAGTCTCAGATCTACCTCTGGACTGAGAACTCTTCAACGGTGAATTCATTTCCCTTTGGAATTTCTTGACGTCTTGCTCATGCTCTTTCTCCTTCACCATAATGAGCCAGCCACGGGAGATAGCTCTTAACTAGCTTTCAATAGAATTACTACCCATACAAAGCAGTTGTGTGCATGTGTTAGTTTAATGAAGATTTAGGAAGACTCAGCATTACATCTCAACAATGCAGCCAACTTCAAATAGAACATTGGACAACCATGACCTTACATCATTAGACCACTCGACTACTTGGATTCTTTTCCACTGGCCACTTTAGGCCACTTAGAGACCAAATCTCCATGATCTAACTGGCTTCTCACTTCCTCCTTTCCCTCTCATTGCTCTTCCCTATTAATCCCTCTGGCTCCCAATTCTTTTCCCTCTACTATGCAGAAACACTTAAATCTTTCCATGTCTATTCCCAGACATTTCTTCAGACCCATCTTAGCCTATCCACACTCAGGAAGGTACACAACATATTTCTTTTATAGTAAAAAGATCAACCCCTTTAAAATATAGTCATATTAGTGAATAGCAGTATCCATTTACAATCCTATTTTCCAGGCTTTGATCTTAATCTAAAAATTCACTAATTATGTTGAAGGCTATTCTAATGGACCACAGAATATATGAAACCTTTTCAGATGTCAGATCTCAAATGTGTTTTTCCCCGTGAGAGTGTCCCTGGCTGCCCAGGTGGTTAGTTCTTCCTTCTGCCTTTTCTTAGGATTTATCTTGTCAGACTGCTTATGGGTGGTTGTTTTTTTCCTTTTCCACCAGTCTGAGAATAGGAATCATATCTTATTCATCTCTGTAGATACACCAGCATCTATCATATAGTAGATGTTCAGTAAATATTTATCAGATCAATCATTTGGTGTCAATTATGTCTGGTTAAAATTGGGTGGCAAATCAAACATTTAGTCACAGACAGCAAATGTGCAAATCCCTGCAAAAGTGAAGCTGTAATGCCAAAAGTTAGAAATGGCCTTTTAAACCCATATAAACAACAAAACCAGAGAGCTTCTCAGCACAGAAAGGTACATTGTGTACCTTTGATCATTCAGCTTATTCTGGAGCAGGCTTCCTTCCAGCCTTGGCTTTCTACTTTCATAAATTGTGTTCTAGCTGTGCCACCTCTGGAGCTCACAGTGCCCACTTCACTAGACGATGACTCACGCTCACCATGGAACAAATTACTTCCATTTTGATATCATTTGGAGGCACAAGACAGAAAGACTATGAACCAATCCTGCAACAAAAGATGGTTTCTCAGCAAAGAGTTTTCACCCACCTCCTCTCTTAGCTAGTTTTCCAAAGAATAATTATAGAGCAAAACTGTAAGCTCACTGAAAATAATAGCTGGGTTGAGCTTTCCTTTATACAACATCTTACACAAACTTGAGCTTAGTAGGTACTCAATACATACTGAAGCACATAGAAACAACTCGGAGTGGACTCAGCACAGCAGTGACTTTAACAAGTATGTATATGTGTCTACATGTATGTTTGTATATACATATGTGTGTACTCATACATACATACATATATATACATACACACATACATATAGAGAGAGAGACCCTGCACTGTAGACAGTAGTAGTGATGTTTGATCATATTGCTCTATATGCACCACACTATGTCATCTGTTTATTTGTTCATTTAATCAACATTTACTATGTTACAACATGCCAGGGAGAATTCTCATGATGGAAGGAAAAGAAGATTTCTTGTCTCTTTACAGCTCTCTCTGATTTTTGTCTCTGTTGGAAAGGTACCACGGCCTCACTTTCTGGCCACATCACTGTTGGAGGTATAGATGGTGTTGTTAAAGGGCAGAAGGAATAAATGCAGGCAGCCCCCAGCATCGAGGAAGTGCCAAGGAAGTGTTGAATGACGGAATGAATGTCAGATCCATGTGCTTCAGAAGAGGCTAGCAGACGCCTGATCTCAGGCTGAGAAAAAGTGAGCAACAAGGTAGGAAAGCATCTATAGAATCTGATTTATGAGAAAGAAACACACAAACCACACATGCACAGTGTGGGCCAAGTGCCACACTCAGTGGACGTTGATCAATATGTATTTGAGATGGGGGTGTTTATCAATCAAAACATCTAAATCCATAGAATTTCAGAACTAAGAAGACCTGAAAATTCCTCTGGTCCAACACTTCCCAGTCTCTTATGTGTCATAGCACGTGTAGAAAATGATCGTATTTGTAAAGCATTCTG